AACGATATAGTCTTTCCGAAGATATAGTATGGTCGTAAACTGACAAATGGAATGGCGGCACCGACTGATGCAACGACACTTATGGCCGTATGCGGTTTGTAGCTGTAGGGTTCCAAAGAATACAATGGAAAAAACTGACGAGTAACTGTAAATCATTTACTACCAGGGTACCTGTAAGTTCTGTTTAATATTTGGAATAATCGAAAGAACTTTAGTTACTCGAATGCTATTATTAACAAGAACCAAATGAGTAGTAGTTTGGATCTAAATTGATACTATGCGGTACTGAACGACGCTAGAGTTTTATTCCACTTATCAAGCCGATGGCCGAACGGGGAGAACCCCAAACAGTATCTATGAGAGAACACTAATGCAACGATGAAATATATTTACTTTTTTTTTTCAATGAAACTTTTACTAACGTTCTTGTGAGAACAATAAACCGCTGAATGGATGACTAACATCTCTATAGAATGTACATGTGTCAAATATGTAGTAAAAATATGTTCCTTGTTTCCCTGAATATCTATTACAAAAATAGTATCAATATATTTGTTTATACACAAAGGTTTTCATTATTATATAATGTAATTATATTAATAAAGAAAATGTTGAGAGGTTTTATGGTCATATATGACAGCCACATACTCATTTACCATTTTAACTGTGTTTGAATGCACATTCGAATGCACTTACTCGTTGCTGTGGTATTTGTTTAAAAAGCACAATTTTTATGTTGTGCTAATTTATATTATTAGTATAAAATTACAAAAAGGTAAAAAATGAAAATAAAAATCAATATTAAATTATTTTTTAAATTTCAACTTTGTTGTTTTCTAATTTTGACGTCTGTTAAGTTATTAATAATAATTTCATAACAAAAAGTTCTTACTGTTATGCTTGTCGGAATATCCTTGTCTATGTACATTATTGTTAGCGCGTTGAGTTTTTCTTCCGAAACAGTTCTGCATAAATAATTTATTTATTTCATACACAATAATGACAAATATCTCTGCGTGGGCCCTTCTTCTCATCGGGCCTTAGTTACGTGTCAATTTTGCCTGGTGGTCAACGCAACCCTGGACCCACGACTAGCCCAACCGTTTTACTACCCTCAGCTGTCAACGCGCTACCTTCTTCAGAAGGAAGGGTCATCAGTTTGTAACTCTTTAAAAATGAATTTTTTATACGCTCGGCATAAATATATAATTTTCTTTCTTTTAACATAATAATTAATGTTTGGGTAGGCATGATAACAAATAGACATTCTGATATTTTGATATTTTCTAGGATGCGTGTCAGAATGCTCGTGTTCGGTTTGACGTTGCACGAAGTTGTTCCCTTCGTGTCGCGTGATCCATTATCCCCTTTTACCTACGATTTAAGTTCCGACGGGGCGTGCCACAATCAACGCCTTAGCGGTTACGCGTCCAGCCATTTGCGGCTTCGGACGTGCGCTCAAAGTTGTGCAAATCGCGCACGTCTGCTAATATGTGAATACATGTGTAAGGTACAACTGGTTTAATTTTTTGTAGGATGTTAGATAAATAATTACGAACGATTCATCAGTGAACAAGGAGATCAATTATCTTGAAATTCTCATGTTTGGTCCGATAGACGTACCACGGCTCTCACCCGTGATTCGAATGTTTGGCCCGATATACGTACACTGACAAGCAAACTCGGCTTCTGCTGGGGGAAGAAGTGACGTAGAAGAAAAGTCTCCTACCACTTAGTAAATTTATTTCAAGTACTGAAATAAATGTTAAACCCAATGTTAATTTGGTATAAATTTCAGCAACTCCCAAAACTAAATGGTAGCAGGCCCTTCGCCAACTTCACTTTTTCCTCTAGCGGAAGCCGAGTTTGCTCGTGGGTGTACCACGGCTCTCACCCGTGATTCTAATGTTTGGCCCAATATACATACCACGGCTCTTACACGATATTGTAGGCGAAAGGGTTAAAATCGACCCTTTCAAGGGTGTTCTGCAATGTGCGTGACACGTATCTGGACCTGCCTTAAGAGTTGCGTGTTTCTAAAAATTTCAATGGAATGTTTTGCTTTTAAGAATATCATAATTCTTTATTTATTTAGTATTAAGTTTTGTCCATAAGTGCATTTCAATGTTGTGTTTCAACACAAGTTTAATTTGTAGAATTTGAGAGGATTTCACACAAACTTACCCGTAGCAGTACCGAAACATGACATACAGCGTTCAACGCCGACTAGAGGATATACATGTATGTTATAAATTATAGAGGTTTGATGATATCATGTAGGTATAAATCAGTTAGTGTAAATCAACAGAAAAAGAAAAGTGCAGGCGAAGGAAGTATGAAACAGATGTGTATTTTTACATAGTTATGCAATTTGTGTTATCCAATATTACGTTTCTTTACTCATACTCGTCATACTTCTGATTACTCAAATTCTCTTGCTTGTATCATTCAATTAAGAAGAATCAGTGGAATTAGCATCATCATCGACTGAAGGTGAAAAAGAATTAATCGAAGATCCTGTGGAACGTCGTGCAGAGGATTCTATGGAGGAATCTGCGGACGAACCAGGTTCGAGCGACACTTATGGCAGGTTATGAGTTTATAAAAAACTTATGTGCTTATAGTGTAATTAATAAAAATGTATGTCGCGTAGCATTACGCAGATTCTGCAAAAAATCACTTATGATACTTAACACCAGAAGCGGCAACGTTGGCCTTGTTTGACTCCAATATAAACGGCTGGTGGTACCTTTACATGTTGTTAATGATGATGACGTACAAAAATTAATAGTTAGTCCGAATAATGTAGTAAATATAAGTAAATACAATAAATGGGTTTTAAATGCACGTATTAAAAAGTGTTTAACATCAATGACCGCATTTTCTTTTCGTCTATTTATGGTATAATGCACATCATTTCATATTAAAAATATTACCTTCATGTTAAATATAAAATACTCTATATATAAATATAAAATTAAATATAAAATTAAATATATAACACCTCCGTTGTTAACATGAATATTATTATTATTAATTTACAAATTATATAATAAAGAAACTAAAAGAATCGACACTTTCAATAAAATATATAAAATTTATTATACACAATTAAAAATATATAAATATTAGTTAATTATATTTATAAAATAATTATTATGTTGAAAAAATCATACTATAGCACTATTATTGTAAATATTTTTGCTCCGGAAGAACATTTAACCATGATTAAAAATCATTTCTTCATACCTTTCAGGTCATACAATATTTCACATTTATTGAAACTTTAAAGCTACATATGTACAGACACGGCGAAGCTTCCTCGCGATGCTGCCTCGACCGATACCTGCTTCGTTCGAATTGTCTCGTATAGAATGCGTGAGGCAAGTTAGCGCAGAAGGATGAGCCAGCAGTTACTGCGAGGCAACCATGGCTTCTACCAAATATTAAAATCTTTGCCTATTGTATATAACGGTGTCGAGAAAATTAGAAAGGTAAAATACTCAAAGACAAAAGGAAATGAACGTGTGCAGTGTTGTAGAAAATTTAATAGAAAGCAGAGTTCTGCTAGAGAATATTAGTTGCTGCTCTTAACTATAGGGAATGTAGGATTAGGAAAACTTATTTCTAAAGATTGTTATTGCTATAACGGTATAGAAGGCATACGATTAAAATTATGGTTTTAACTTATAAGTACGTCAGCGGGACGTTCGAACATCGACCGTTTTGTATTGGTCTTACGTTTCTTGGGAAGCAGCCTACAAGCCACACAGTGTCTGTACATAGCTAAACGTGAATGTGTCAGCTCTCCGTTTTATCCGATCAACTTAATTTTTTACAGCAATTATTTTCTTACCTAATAGGACAATTTTAGGGGGCGGCGTGAGAAAATCACGCAAAAAATTTTCACTAATTGTAAGTATAGTTAAGGTTCACCCCAATTTACATCGGAATCGGCCTGTGATCCCTATATTTACCGGCCACCTCGCGACATTTCACAATGAGACGAAACGTGAATATTTTAGATTTTAACTGTCACTTAAATATTTTTTTCTGAATACTTGAATTAGAGGAAGTGCTCACTATAAACATTAGGCACAGATACTGTGACAAGAAATTCTTTTTAAAGTATTTGAACTGAGAAATGATTTTTAATTTCCTTCGCGCTCCTGAAACTTATTTAAAACAATAGAATATACCAAGAATGAGTAGTAGGATATACAGATCACAAACTCTTTGTACAATAAGTTATTTGAGCAGTTTGTACAACTTTCTTTGATACGATTGCTGGCATCTCACAATACCTTTCAGTATCTGCAGTTTTGACTTCGAAAATTTGTTATTCTATATAAACTTCAAACTGAAGCAAATACCAACAGACATAATCATTTGTATTATTGATATCGCTCCAACGTAATGATTCTCTGAAGACCAATATTTTAATCATAATACCGCATCAAATTTATCCTCAATCGAAATAACAATTCCTTACAATTAAAAATTGCAACAGAGCTGAAATCTGGTTTTCTGCACTCATTTGAATGCATAAGACACACGTAAAAGAAAGAAACCACGTATACTGGAAATCACGTAATGGATGTAATTGATGTTCTATGCAATTCATTTTCGACATGTTTCATTTACCATTCCCAATGACAAACACCACTGGAAGTTTCTATTTTAACAAGTTATTCTCTATTATTTTTCGTTGCAAGTTCGCTAGATAAGTGAAATATACTGCCATTGACAAGATGAAAGTATCAATGAATTACCATGTTTTTAATCAATGCCGTCGCTTAACCGTCCAACTCTGGCGTAACATTCAATTTTATCTTAATCGATATAATATCACATTTTATACAAACTAATTACATAAAACAACTATGCCTAAAAAAATACATTTCTGGATTCAAAGGAAACGACATCGAAATCTCAACAATTAATAACAAACAAAAATGTTTCTATATAAATTAATTATGAATGTAATATCGGTAAATTGCCTTGAGTTTTACATGTTCAGTTGGTGTAGTTGAACAGGCACGCTTGTGAAATTGTCCACTGTCGATTGTTTCATAGGTGTGTTCCTCTAAATAGTGTCTGGTGGTACCCCTTGGTGTCAGAGTCGCCCACATAACACGGCTATCTTGCATAGCGTCGGTTGTGCACGGATAAAGAACAGCTTCGTTTTGAATTCTTCCATTCTTTGTTTGCGCACCAGAGCTCGCGTTCGGCATGGACATTGCCCCGTTCTTACCACTTCTATTACTACACAATGACAATCGATTATTTTGTACCTTTCGGCATCACATTACTTTTATTATTTACCTTGTTTTTAATCATGGAAAATATTAACACATTGCATACAACGTTCTGTTCAAACAATGTATTCTTTAACTTATAATGTGTAATACCTACAGATGGGCCGTTTTGTAAATGGTACAAGGCCAATTTCGCTTGTTCTGAGATATGTAAAATTTTGCATTTTACTATATTACTTGTTATTGTTATACTATATTTTGTCATAACATATACAAAATTTTAGAAGCACACTTTCAGAAAGCCATGGTTAATAAACGAATTTATAATATATTATTATCAAAATTCGTAATAAGGATATTCCATGCGAAATCGGACATTTTTTGGAGCACCATTTCGGATTTTGTTCAAATTTGAATATGTTGTAGTCTTTAGCGATATATAATCTTATATTGAAGGTTTTTTGAAAATGTTTTAAATTGTTGATTCTACAGATGTTTGATATTTAGGGTCAACCTTTTTTCAATAAATGATAGCTATTGAACTGACAACAAGTGTTAGTTACAGTGGAGACATAACAGTACCGAATAAAAAGTATTTCAATTAAAAAAAGATATTTTTTAACCATTAAATAAATGCCCTGTTTTTATATCGGAGAACTATTTAAAAATTTGAAAATAATGAGGATATAGCCCTATTTGTCCTCTTTATGGATATATATTAAAAAATATGGACACTTTTAAATTGGCCGTATGAAAACTAATTGAAGTGAACGCTGCGTCCAAGCTCGATCGGCCGAGCCGTGCGGTATGCGTTGTAGCTGCTTCAAAGATATAACGTTATCCATAAACGAGGCCGAAGCTTAAACCATAGTACTCGATCATCAGGGGCCCATTGTCTCCCACTGCATTCAGGGTTGTACGCCACTTTCAGCTATGGGGTTCCAAGGAATAAAACGAAAAAGACTGGAATATTTGAAAGAAATGAACGGTTTCGTAAGCTTCCATCCGGAATAAAAGGGCCAGAAGTATTTTAAATCTGAAATTAGTACGTTATCAGAACTTGTTTAATTACATTCAAACGGAAAAATCGATCCTAAATTGACGTCGTACGCCCCTGAACGACGGTCGAGTACAGTTTTTAAACTCAAGCGTATCAAATGACAGGATTAGGCTACCAAACACACAAACTTTAGGGTCGGTTAGGTTTATGGCTAACGCTATATCTTTGAAGCAGCTATACCTGACATTCTTATACGTATAGGGGTATACCGACCGCTGCAAGGCCTAATACCGTTAATAGTGGTTTGAAAATTCACTCTTTGTAAATGGCACTCATTGTTAGAATCATTGTCGCCATTGTTCAATGGAAATCACGAGAAGGTGATGATTATTCTTTCATCGGGAGAGGATGCGTTGTGATGGGATTAGATTAAAACATATATATTTAATCGTATCGATAAGCGTCTTCTTAAATAAATAATCGATTATATAAGTACTTAATTCATACTTGCTACAACTACTGATTTTTCACTGTATGAATAGACTTTAGCAGTTAAAATAAAAGAATAATCTCTGATATAGTCGTTGGTATAAATGTATGAAAATTTCGCATTTCACGAATTATTTTAGCAAGTCACGTCTTTCTAGTAAAAATCTTGAATGTTTATTATATTCTTTCTACTGGGCTGAAATGGAAATTAATTTATTCAATGTTAGCATTCGCCCAATCAAACAATTCCTGTGGTGATTTCTTTGGTCTTCTAATGGTCTTTGTGAACTGGCACGAGCTACAAGGCGTTTTAAAGAGCTACCGATACCATCGCATGCATTCTTAGCATGTGATGTTGCAAAATAATGTCACTCAGCGTTTATTCCAAAATCAGCAAGTACAGCAAATAAACTTTCCTACCTCGAGGTTGGGACACTTCTTTTGCAATGTTTCTGTAGTAGGTCTAGTATTTTTCAAATATGTATTTACTGTGATTGGGTTTCACAAAGGATGAATACGTCTACGAACCAATAAAAGAAATGCAGGGTGACTCAGAACATAGGTAGTGACAGAAAAATATGTCCAGCAATTAATATCATTGACGAGGGTAAGTTTCCAATAACTATTAATGGTATTAGACCTTGCAGCGGTTGCATACTCATATATGTATAAGAATAGCAGGTATAGCCGCCGGGATGCTGCTAGTACCGCACTTCTAGGTGCGATTGGACACAGCGTTCACGTCAATTAATTTTCATACGACTAATTTTAAAGTATCCATATTTTTGAAGATGTACCCATAAAGAGGACAAATAGGGCTTTATCCTCATTTTTCACATTTTTAAATAGTTCCCGGATATAAAAACCGGGCATTTATTTAAAACAATTGCAAAATAAATTTTTAAAAAATATCTTTTTTTAACTGAATTGCTTTTTATTCGGTACTCTTATATAAAGCTCATTATGATCAGTTTGTCAGTTCAATAGCTATCATTTATTGAAAAAAGGTTGACCTTAAATTTCAAACATCTGTAAAATGAACAATTTAAAAAATTTTCAAAAATCCTTCGATATAGGATTATACAGTGTGGCCCACATAACTCTTAACAGCTCAATATCTCGAAAACTATGCCATCAATTTTAAAGTTCTTGGTCTTAAATTGCATGAATCTGAAGGGCCTTTTTAACTACATAAACCTGAAGTGGCGTCCCTGCCCCTTTAAGGGGGGGGGGGTACCTTTATAATTTTAAATGGAACCCCCTATAAAACGTTACATATTTAGATTCTACAGGGAAAAACAAGTAAATTTTGTCTGAAACACTTTTTTGTTAGATATTTCCATGATGAGATATAACAGTTTGAAGTTTCGACTTGTAGGTACACTTGAAGCGCTCGGAAATTGCGTTATTGAATTATACGCGCTTGAGTCCTTTGCTTATTCGTGAAGAAATAAAATGTTCTTTAAATTAAATGTTCAAAATGTCCACCACAGGCTTGTAAACATTTATTTACTTGAAACATCAAAGTTCTAACATTTGTTAACATTTCAGGAGTCACTGAAGCGCAAGCGTCACGTATTCTTTGTTCCATATTCTCTTTTGTCGTCGGCGGTTCAAACATAACTTTGTCCTTTACATTTTCCCATAAGAAAAAATCTAAGGTGTTAGATCGGGGGATCGAGGAGGTCATTGTTGAGGTTCCCCACGACCTACTCATTTGTTCCCAAATTTTTCATTCAAAAATTGTCTGGTGATGATTGCAAAATGTGGAGGACGCTCAAGAATTGTAAATATTATTGTTTTTGTTTCTTCACGAATAAGTAAAGAACTCAAGCGCGTATAATTCAATAACGTAATTTCCGAGCGCTTCAAGTGAGTACCTACAAGTCGAAACTTCAAACTGTTATATCTCATCATGGAAATATCTGACAAAAAAATGATTCAGACAAAATTTACTTGTTCTTTCCTGTAGAATATAAATATGTAACGTTTTATAGGAGATGCCATTTAAAATTATAAAGATACCCCCGCCCCCCCCCCCTTAAAGGGGAAGGGGGCCACTTCAGGTTTATGTAGTTAGAAAGGTCCCTCAGATTCATGCAATTTAAGACCAAAAACTTTAAAATCCATGGCATAGTTTTCGAGATATTGAGCTGTTAAGAGTTATGTGGGCCACCCTGTATATCGCTAAAGACTACAACATATCCAAATTTAAACAAAATCCGAAATGGTGCTCCAAAAAATGTCCGATTTCGCGTGGAATGACCCAATCTTGAATAACATGAAAGATACAAATCTGTAATATTCATTCCATTCGTATCTAAATTCTTATTCTCGCTGCATTTACATTTTTGAATATTATTGTATTTCATCATTTAAAATTCACATATTCTGAAAGTCATATTATGTACTTTGCTTTTCCGTTTCCAGAACGGAATAATCATCTTTCATTCATCATGAAAGCGTATTCTCCTTTTTTGAAACCTAACATTTTGCCTCACAATATACAGTGAGTGTAAAAAGTATTCGTAGACCCTTCAAAACGGAACAATTCTTTTAAAATTGGTCCAAATGATTTGAGTTTTTTTGTGAAGTTAGAGACATTAATTTACTAAATGATGTGAAAAAAAAATTTGAAAAAGTTGCAATTGGTCCGAATCGCGAAGAAAATATTAAAGGTCGTGTTTTACAACTTTTTAATCTGAGGCTATAATGAAAATTTAATAAATACATATCGAAGATTTATGTTAGTCATGTACATATTGAAACTTTCATTGATATCGGTTAATACAGAAACGAGCGACAGACATCAAAAGATGTGAGGATTGTTAGATTTACTACAGTTGTACATCGAAAGTCGGGAAAAACTGCGATTTTCAACATTTTTAATCGTTTGTATCTCGTAGCAATGTTAACCGACTTTGATGAAATTTTCAACATGTATATAATTAATATAAATCTTCGATATGTATTTATTAAATTTTCATTATAGCTTCAGATTAAAAAGTTGTAAAACACGACCTTTATTATTTTCTTCGCGATTCGGACCAATTGCAACTTTTTCAAATTTTTGTTTCACATCATTTAGTAAATTAATGTCTCTAACTTCACAAAAAAACTCAAGTCATTTGGACCAATTTTAAAAGAGTTGTTCCGTTTTAAAGGGTCTACGAATACTTTTTACACCCAAATGTGGCAATCTAAACGCGCATTGTACCACGTGCATAGTTGTATTTTATTCTCGTTTTCAAATATAGAATTGATTACTTCCCAGACATTAATCTTTTTTGGATATACATAAATCACTTCTTTGTTTACTATTATAACATTAGTTACAGTTACGGGAAGAATATCGTTAGTAACTCTAAGTTCACTCTAAGTTCAGTCTTTAACTTCTTGCCTTTAATAGAATTATTAAGGCCACGTCATTCATTGTGAAAGTTTATTTTCACTTTCACTGTAGTTTTTACTTTTTGAAACTACGAGCTATCATAAATTGTCATGTGGCGGCACGAGGC